TTTATAGATAGATTTCTAAGGGACTCCACAGGTTTGTTTCTCAGCCATCCCCCCAGTAGAAGTATTAATTAAACCTGATCCTATTCAGGAAATGACAGTTACCTTCAGACAAAAGCCAAATACCAATGCATGCAGTGTTTCTGAAAGCAAGACCTTCTCTTTGGATGTTGTGCCAGGAAACACTCAGGAAGACATCCCTGTCCCCATTGATCAGATGGTAAATCCAGGGGCTAAGAGCATTTATGGGATTTTGCTGAGGTCATGTGTCTATTAAATGAATGTTTCTAATCTCTAGATGTTTCACACACTCATCATCACCATCACTCATTACCACCACTGAAGAAATAGCTGAGCAGGCATGAAAATGGCATCCTTTATAACCTGTGTCTGCCTGTTCTCCACTGCTTCTTCCCATACAGTCCACACTGTAGACTCCACATTCCTACTTATCCAGCCTTCAGATCTAAGCTCCTGGCCACATATTGAGCTGCAGGCCTGCAATCCTAACACTTGGGGGAGCAGAAGGATCACATATTTAGTTCTAGCCTGGACTACAGAGTGAGCATGAGGTCAGTCTGGGAAACCTAGCAAAACTTTCATCTTAAAATAAAATGAAAGCCAAACTTAGAAAAACAAAGAGATTAGGGGTGTAGTCATAGAGTGTCTGCCTATAATGCATATACTTTAGGTTTACTTTCAAATATTGGGGGAAAATATATTTAAAAAAAATCTTCCTTCAGTACATCTCTCTCACTGAAATTCTCTCTTAGTCATGTGACTAAGTACACTCTTTCCCAGTGTACTCTCAGAGCACTACCACCATGCTGGCACTTGCCACCCTATGATACCTTCATGCCTGTCTGCATTCCCTAGGAGACAAGCACTGTGAAATCTTAAGAGCATCTTGTCCCATCACTAGCCCTGTATCTGGTAACTCAGTGAGCATCTGCTGGGTAGAAGATTAAGTCTTGAGGCTTGTATTGTCTGCTATGGAACCTGTTCCCATCAGGGTCAAGTGAAGTGGATCTTGACTGCTTCCTTCAGACTCACAGCCATCTGTGCACTGTGTCAGCTCTGATGGCCTCTTCCTAGAGTTCAAAGCATCATCTTTGGACAGGACCCTGGATTTGCCTTTGTTTTTACCTCACCCTTGCCCAGGTGGTGGACTTCCCATAGAGCTAGGCCACTAGGAGTGCAATGTCCACAGACTGTCTATCTCTGCATGTAGTCTCTGTCTCTGCTGGATGATTCAGCTTGCAATTTAGCCAACAAAGTTATCTGTAAGGCAGGGTATAGGACCCTGCTGCCTTCATGAGTGCTAGCTATACCTTTTCCTCTGTCCTTAGAATCTACGAATCATTCCAGCTGAGCTCTATATTCCTGCTGCTCCTGGCCAAGTTCAACCCCATTATCATCTCTTTACCTGGATTGGAACATAGTCTCTAAATGGCTTTCCTGTGTCTAGTCTTGTCTCTTTTATTTTGTTCTCTGCACTGACTTCTCTCAAATGTAAATGTGACCATGCCTATAAAATCAATAGTCTCTAGCCCAAACTCCCAAACCAGCCAAAGCCCTTGTGCTGTAGCTTGCAGTATGAAATACTATCAAACAGAAGCCAACATCACACTGTTTTCTGCCCCTGCCTCTTCACTTGCCTGCCTTTACCTGGTGTTTTATTCTCTCTATAATTGTTTACTAGGTTCATTCTGTGAGCATTTATCATATGCCTGGTTCTGTTCTAGGAGTGGATTTGAGAGGAGAATCATTCAAAGTCTCCAACCTACAAGCCTTATATTTTGGGTGGCGGGAGGAAAAACTAGGAAAGAAGCAGTCTTTGTAACTGCAGATAGTAGTGAATTTTCTGATGGAAAGAAAATGAGATAGATCACAGAATTTGACTTAAGGGGTTACTCTGGGTTGCCATTTAAATGAGAAAATTTAAACATGGCAGGCAGAGACAAGGTATTCTAGGTGGTGGAAAGCACACATATATAAGACCAATGGGGGGTGTGGCTGGTACATGGCACTTGGTGGGGAGAGGCTGGGGTGCTAAGGGCTTAGAGCAGAGCACCCTCAGGCCTGGAAAGCCTGTTCTCTCTGCTTCACCAGGAGTTATTAAGTGGCAGCTTGCATATGGCTCAGCATCTGATGTCCATATCAGGGCACTGCCAAGCCCTTGGACTATGGCTTGCATTTGCATATACATAATGAACAATCAAGCACAGTTCCAGGTTCTGAGAAGGGCAGAAAGTGACTGCTACATCCTCTGGATACAGGGAAAGGAGGAGACTGACAGGCTTTGAAGTACTTAAAGTTAACACTGAGAAATCAGGGATGCAGATGATGGGTAGACAGCCACAGCGGGAAAATGATGGATAAGAGAGTTTACACTGGGCATTTGGGAGAAAACTCCAAGCAGGCACTCAACCATTAGTGGTGAGAACAAACTCTGATTTAAGCAAAGAGAAAAGCTAGGGGAAATGGGGTTAATGGAAACAGTGCTTCTCAGAGCCCGAGAGACTCAAGTGCTTTCTGGCTTCCCTTCTCTGCTGCCAGCAGTGAACTGTAGACACTGAGAAGGAGTCTAGGAGGACAAGGAGAAGAGCTGGAGCAAGTAGCAACTTCAGTGTGATTCCAAAGGTAGTAGTGGTATTGTGATCAGTTACTCCATCAAAGGCCAAGAAGGTCTCATGACCTTCCACGGGGATTCTAAAAGACATCTCAAAACATTTAAGATAGCAATAAAAGCCTTGCCAGTCTCAGAAGGAAATTCTAGATTCAGACACTTTTTCCTTAGTTTACAAAGGACTGTTTGTAAGCTCACATGTCCTTCCATCTGGTTATTATTACCTGCTGTGTCTTCTTTCTCCCAACCACTAGTCCCTACCCTGTTCTTCAAACTGGTCCTGCCTCTGTACCTTTGCACCAGGTACATTTTCTACCTGGAATGTATCTCCCTTGCTTGACTACAGCTGGCTTTCTTGTCACTCAGGTTTCAGTGTAAATTTTACCTCCTCATCTCAAGTTTGTTTCTCCCCAAAGAAAGAATCTGCCTGGCTTCTCACTGGTCAATGCATTGTAGCACTGGCTATTAGCTAATCATTTTTACTCATAGCTTGGGTAGTTATCTCCTGAGGGAGAGACCATTGTCCCTTCCTTCTTTCCTTCCATTGCCTGTCTTAACAGATTGATTTATTTTCATTTTAAATGTACGAGTGTTTGCCTACATATATGTATATGTACCACACGCCTATCGGATTCCTTGAAATTGGAGTTATACATGGTGATGAGCTGCCATGTGAGTGCTGGAAACTGAATGCATCCTCTAGAAGTGCAGCCAGTACACTCAACCACTGAGCCATCTCACCAGTCCCTATTTCACCTGTGTCAGTGCTCAGAATGAGAGGAAACATGTGTTTCTATACTGAAGGAATGAAACAATTTCTTGTGTATCTGATACTGAGGACACAAGAGACAAAGTAGCATGTATTTTCCTAGAATCTAATATATAGATGCTGAGCTGGGAAGCATACAGGCCATTTTTTACTCATTTTGCAACAAAGCAAACAGAGATACAGAGACACAGGGTATCTCATTTGAGGTCACATAGGTAGAAATGAAAAGGTCTGAACAAAAACTCCAGGAAAGAAGCTTTGCTTGCAGAGACTGATTGATGAGAGTTTCAGACTATGGAGAGACTGGGATGTTGAATGCACTTGAGGCTAACTACCTTATCTTGGGTTAGTTCTAGCTCTCCAGGACAGCCATTCCTTGCCTACCCCTAAGAAATAAGATCTTGTGACTAATAGATAAAACCCTTCATAATCTATTAACTTAGCATATTACTAGCTTCCATCAACCCAAAAGCTAAGAGAGCATCTTTCCCCATCTTGCTGTACCTGCCTCTGAAGTACCAACCAATATATTTTAAACTTGTCTTGATTTATGATTATTTTTGTTCTGTGAATTTATAAAACTTCATAAAGCTGCTTCCACATTGGAACATGGAATTTGGGATGACCTAAGTCTGTGTTCCTGGGCCATGACACTAAAAATGGCTCAAGAATAAACTATCTTTTATTCCCTTTAAGACGAGATCTGTGGTTTTTGTGTCAACAAAGGTAATATAGTTAAACTCAGGTCAGCTTAATTTTATTCTATTCTATTCTATTCTATTCTATTCTATTCTATGTTGCCTGTGGCTACCATGTTCTTTTCTTTTCTTTTTTTTTTTTTTTTCGAGACAGGGTTTCTCTGTGTAGCTTTGCGCCTTTCCTGGGTCTTGCTCTGTAGACCAGGCTGGCCTCAAACTCACAGAGATCCGCCTGCCTCTGCCTCCCAAGTGCTGGGTTTAAAGGCATGCGCCACCACTGCCTGGCTAACTCTTTTCTTATATTCTTAAGAATTTAGTGTTGGTCATAGCTAGCATAATTGCTTGCTCTGTTACCATGGGCAACTTGCCTAATTTCTCTCCTTGAACTTTTCAATAGTAAAAGAAGGACTCAATGAACAAAAATGAGCTACAGCATATGAAAGAATAGGAAATAACAATAACAACAAAAATACCCAATATCTTCAGCTATTCCTGTAACTCTTCACTCTACACTTTCCTTGCCCAAACCAAATAGGAAGGAGCCAGTACCTGTGGAAGTACCTAGGTTCCAACTAATGAATCATGTGTCCTATATAGATGCCTTCACTGTCACAAACTTGGGAGTTTCCTGGCCATGAGGCAGACAATGCAAATCTGATGGCTTGTTCTGCCTGGAAACCCACTTTGACCCATTCGCTGAGCTAATGTCTCCTTCCAAGTTCACATTGCTCCACAGGAAGTGACCAGATGATCTGACCATTGCTCTATTGGGTTATGGATTCCATGGCAGGTAAGGTGTGTCTGGACCTCAAGGTCCAGACCTGAGCTGACTGCAGAACCCAACAAGAACCCAAAACAGACAAATGAGAATGTGGCCAATCTCTCCCACTATCTGTTGAACACTCACATTTTCACTGTTGACATCAGTCTCGCTGGGGCAGCCAAACAGCTCCCGCCGTAGGAGGTTGCCATCATACTCCAGGAAAGTCAGGTAGAGGTTGCGGAAGAATTCCACATGTTTGTTCTTCACTCGGAGCTTCTTAGGGGAGTTCCAGTGGATGACCTGAAGGGTGGCAAAGAGGCTGTCAGATTGCAAGGGCCACAGAACACAGACTGGATGAAGTATGATCCCTGTGTCTGTAGTTCACTCACTCACTCATTCATTCTACATTTTTGGCAGAGTGGTAGGGAACCAGTGCTAGTAATGGATCAAATCTTGCCTCTGTTCTAAGCTGTCACTTAATCGTGGGGAAGTTCCCTTATTCTCTGTGTCACAGGAGCATCCACAGTTCCTGCATGTGCCATTATTAGACTTTCATCTCTGGGATCCCCCAGCTCTGCAATGCAGAGGCTGGGACCCTTTGACCAGAAACTGCTTAGTGATGCAGACTGTTTAGGAGAAGGACACTTGGGGCCTAGAAGTGGCAAACATAGCTCCTCCCTGGAGGTTCCTGGTACTGAGAACATCACTTGGCCGCCTTCTCCATCACCATTGGTACTTCCTTCCTTTCAGAAACCCATGTCACAGATTTCTCAACACTCACAATAAGCTCCATGGTCCCTTCTTCTCTGTCCAGAGCAGCTGCCTCTGACATTGGTGCCCTCAAGGGTGTGAGTTTGAATTTTTCCACTTCTTCTCTCTGCTCTTCAAGGACCACATTGTTAACTGTCTCCTGCAATTTCTAACTTAAGTTTTATTTCAGGGCCATATCTATACTTTATGCCTGGTTACCACTACTAAACATTAAATTTCCTGTTTAAAAGTGTGGTCATTGTCTTATGACAAAATTGAGTGAGTCTCATAGAACTGCTATGAAAAGTAAACACATGAATGTGCAAATCTGGCATTGGGTAAGCACTCACAAAAATGTTGGCTTCCTTAGCATCTTCAGTTTTCCAGATTGAGAGATGTCTTAAGGCACATGACCCTGGGAACTGCCCATAGAATATTCATGGCCCACCAATAGGTAGTTAGAAGGCACAGTGAAGGGAAAAGCATGGAAGAGAGATAGCTCTGAAATATCCAATAGAAGCATGATGGAAAATGCCTAAGTTGGGGCTCAGAGGAGAAGAACATGGTTTCTGGGAGAGATGAGCTAATGTGAGGCATGTGGTCATGTTGAAGCATGGGGTGGGGCATGGAAGAAACCCAGCTGGGCTGATCTCCTACACCTGAGAAGCCAACATTTGGAACTCAGACCTTGGCCACTACAGGTTCTTTGGAGAGAGCAAAATGACAGACTAGGTTTTAGGGCCATCACTGTGTGTAAAGATGTGCCTGGTAAGGTGAGCAGAGCAAAATCAAAGCTGGGAACACTGTTGTGATTTCCAGATGAGAACTAAGGCACTGGGCATATATTTTCTGACTTGCTTGAAAAGAAAAAATAAAAAAGGGAAAATTGAGAAAAGTAAGTGAATATTTAGAGTATAATAAGCACTAAAATTATTCTAAGTACTTGATTGTTAATATTTATTTGTACTTATTTGTTTTTATAAGTAGTTCTTACTACTTGTAAGTTATGTTGTGACTACTAGCAATGAATAATTTGAATTTTTTTTAATAAAAAAAGTCCATGGGGCATCACTGTGATAGGTACCCCTGTCCAGGAAGGTAAGGCAGGCTCCAGAAGATTGTTTTCCCATGGTTTCACAAAATTGTGCTTGGCACCTTGTGACTCACCTCAGAGGCTTGACTAACCACTATGTTTTGCTGTCTCAGAGCTGGATATGAAGCCCAGCAAAGGAAGCAAGGGCTGCAGAGGTCCTATAAGGATGAAGTTACTGATGGGTGAAGGTGTCTGCAGATGTCAACAGGATGGCTAAAGGAGATAGAGAGGATGGGCTCAGGAGAAGTTAATATGCTAAAGGACAGCAGAATCGGGGAAGGCCTGGCTCCAAAGGGGCTGCTCCACTGGTGATAGCCACCATCACTGGTCACATTCCCAGTGTTTACAGAAGATGCCAAGAAAGACCAATCCTCAGCTTGGAGTAAGAATAAGAACTAGACCCACAGGAGCCTCTGAGGGACACCTGTAAGGGGAAGAGAGAGCCTGTGCTGAGTGCTACAATGTGTCTGTGGAATGGAGCTGTCTCTTGAGGGCTCATCAACAGGTTTGCATTTGCTGGTGCTATATTTTAAAAGCATTTCCCAAAGTCTATCTGTTAACAGCTTAAGACACAGGCTCTTTAAGAGGGAATTAAAGTAGGAGGGCAAATGCCTTTATGGAGGGGTGGACATCTGATAAAAGGAGTTTGCTTCTTTCCTCCCTTTTTCCATCTACTACATTTCTGCCTCTTCCCTGGATTGATGCAGCATGATGGCCTTGGCACGAGGCAGGTACCTCAACCTTGGACTACCAAGGTTTTTGAATAGTAGAAAATGGATCTCCAATAAAGCCCTAGTCTTAGGTACACTGTTATATAAGCATTAAACAAATAGGACAATTGACTCTCTAGACTCTCTCAATCACTCTAACAAGAGACAGAGAGGGTTAACCAGTTTAAGGCACCTAACCAAGCCACCTGGTTAGTGAAGGTAGGAATGGCAAGCCTTCCTTCTGCACTCCAGAGAACAGGAGAAGCTAGGTTGTTATAACTTCATTTTCCTTGCTTTGATGGCAGAAGAAAAAAGATAGCTCCAACTTTCCCTTCTGTAGTCCCCAGTACCCTTACTCTTGGGGTGTAAAAGAGTATTATCATTATATAATGGGGCCTATATGCTCCTATTCATCCAGAATCATGTTAAAATACACCTAATCTCCAAAACAATGGCATTAGGAGACAGGGCCTTTGAGGTACTTAGGTTATGGAAGGCAGCAGGGTCTTTATCTAACAGACCCAAGGGAAGCCTCAACTCTACCATATGCAGACACATCCAGAAAGTACTATCTATGAATCAGGAAGTGGGCCCTTACCAGACGCTGGATCTCCCCCATCTTAGACCCTGGAAGTCTCCAGAACGAAGACAAATAAATGTTGCTTGGTTGTAAACTGCCCAATGATTTTGAGCACAGCAAGGCACTGCAGCTCAGCTACTTCCTGGTTTCCTCTGTAGGCTGAGGTCTGACCATAGAAATTCTGCATCAGGGTCCAGAGCTTGTTCTTTGGACACAGGCCAAGATAGCCTGGCTCCTTCTGTCCTCTCCTTTGAGGGTGTTTATTGGTGACTTCCTTTGACTCTGGCTGTATACTACTCAACAAAGTGTTTCTCCTTCTCTTTCATGCCACTGTTAGGTAATAGGAAGTGTGTATGATTTAAGCTGCATTTCCTGACTTCCACCCATAACTGGAAATAGTACAACCATAAGTACTATGGCCCTCAGCTCGGCTGCAGTCTGGCCCTCAGCAGGCTGCAATAGCTATTACCTTCAACTCCATTTCCTTCCTGAAACCTAAGTTTCCTTAAGTGCAGGATGAGGACCAGTGAGTCTGACAAAGAAGTTCATAGGGTTGACCCAATGCCTTTCACAGACAGTGAATCTGAGGTTGAGACTGGCCCAAGATCGCCAAGCTAATCAATGGTTAGAAAACAAAACAAGAGTGCTTTGATCAGGTATTCTGCTCTAATGTATTTTCTTAGGACTACAACATTCATTCATTCAACATAAAGCAAAATCAGCTGTGATTCTGTGTCAAGCACTGGTTGAGGGGCTGTGAATGAAAAGCTGTATATACAATTTTATACATCTGTCTAGAAGTTAGAATTCGGAGAAAGAGATGAACACCGAATTATCATCCATTCTAACTTACAAGCATGACATGTGACTTCAAAGAGAGTTTTAATGACCCCTCTCCACAGAACTACTTTGATAAGAAACTAGAGACAGAGTGGCATAGCAAGCTATGGGTTACTGTTCCTCTACTAAGTGACATTCATGACTGTAAAATACTGACTCATGGTTCAGTTGTTGATGTTCTTAATCATGGCTCTCTGCTTGGTGAAGAATGCCATTTCTTGGCCTCTTGAAGCACAGAATTACCTATCACTGCTAGCTTGAAGGCTGCAACATCTGAGACTGACATTGAAGAATATGACCCAAATAGGTTTTTGTGTTAAGCTGGTGAACAGAGTTGTTTGGATCGGCAAGGTCTGTGATGAGAACCTGCCATAACTCGTTCTCATTTCTGAGGTACATTAACATTGCAGTCATAATAATATTGATAATGATAATGATTATAATAGTTTGCTGTTCACATGATTCAATACTTACTGTGTGCCAAACACTTCACTTGTCATAACTCATTTGTTCTTATATACTTATAAAAGACAACTGACATTCTTATCATGCTCTGTGTGTCAACTTGACAGGATCTAGAATCATATAGGAGACTATTCTCTGAACATGCCAGTGAGAATTAACTGAAGTGGGAAGACCTACCCTGGAGTCCAGGATTGAGTAAAATGGAAAAGGGAGCTAAGCACCAGTATTATACATCTCTGCTTCCTGACTGCAGATACAATGTGACCAACTGCCTTATACTCCTGCCACTACACCTTCTTTGCCATGGAGACAAAACAAATTTCTCCTTTCTTAAGTAACTTGTCAGATATTTTTGTCACACTAATGAGAAAAGTAACATATATCCCATTCAGGTATGGAAATTTAGATAATTGTTCTTCCCTATCTGGTCAGAAATCAGGATAGGCAACATTGGAATTCAAGTAGAGAGAGAAACAAGGAATGTCTGCTCTTTATTCCCCTTTATCTGCAATTGTGAAATCTTTTTCTTTCTAGAAATGAACATGATATTTACAGAAGATGAAGGGGTTAGAGGTAAAACTTTCCTACCCTTGGGGTAGACCTGGGCTTGCAAGTAACTGAGGACTTCTGGATATACTAGTTGAGCCTTCTGCCCACAGGAAGAAGGTGGCTCACAGAGTAACAGCTATACTCCTTACCAGCCAGTAAGCTTGTTGCCACTGGCTCACATTTACAGTTCTCACCCAGTCTTCAACCAATATACATCCTGGTGTTTTTTCACCTTATTTCTCATGACTTTGTGACTTTTCAAATGATTGTCTCTCCTAAGAATATCCTTCTTTCTCCTGTATTATGTGTCTAT